TGGCAGAGACTTTGCATGAGAGACTCTCTTCCTGCTCGGAGAAGGTGCCTTTGGGGAAGGAGCCCTCCGCTTCTCCAGGGTAGGGTCCGAGGCAGAGGATCCTGCCGAAGTAGAAGGCATCAGTGCCTTATTGAATAGAATTTCTTTTAACCGCCTTTCCCGCTCCTTACGAGCTCTGGATGTAAGTTTGGCACAGTGCCCACACTTTTGGGGAATATGTGTCTCCCCGAGACAACGGACACAGGCGGAATGACCGTCCGAGAGTGGCATAGAGTCCCTACAGATAGAACATTTCTTGAAGCCGGGAGAGCCCGGCATTTTGAAGGACTGAGAGGGCTTGTCCCGCGCCTCTCTCCTCTGTATATTTTGTATATCTCTAGTATTTATTTATTTTTAATTATATTTATTTATTACTATTACTCCCTTTTCCTTTCCTTCTTTCTTTTCTCTTTCTTTTCTTTTTTTTTTTTTTTTTAATAAGCCGGTGGGACTAGGGCTGCGGCGAAACTGACCAGAGCCGCGGTTTGAACCGCCGGTTTTAAGATTAATTGCGACCAGTAGTTCAGTTTTTCCTTTTTGTTTTGAAGTAAGCCGGCGGGACTAAGGCTGCGGCGAAAGTGACCAGAGCCGCGGTTTGAACCGCCGGTTTTAAGATTAATTACATCCGGTTACTTAGTTTTTCCTTTTGTTTAAATGGCAGTGTTAATTAATAATATTTTTTTTTCACGTTTCTCTGAGGTAGAGAGAAGACAAGTAGAGCTCCGTCCGCGACCAGGGGCGGATGAGAGGAACTGGCGGAGACCGGGTCACGCGCGGCTGTTCAAAGGCGCGAACGCTACTCGCGCATGCGCGACCCGGTCGATTACAGCTATGGCAAGCTCCGATTCGCGGCGCCGGGACCAGCCCGACACCAGACGTGGAGCACCCACGGGGACTACCCGAAGAAGAACCAGGCATTTTAGAATCGTTCGTTGATCTGGTTCTTCTTTTTTTTTTAGGGATATGAACTATACACACACAGGGAATAGATATGAATGTATATTAACAATGGAAAGGGGAAAAGGGTAGTAATCTGAGGAGAAATATGTATAACTATATTATTCTCTTTTTTTAACTAGAACAAGTTGAGAACTATTAAGAATTAAATATGGAGGAAGAAAAAGAACAACTGTACAAAATAACAAAAATAGAAAGAACGGTTCACTCCATCTGCAATCTGAGGGAGGTTGAGAGAAACTGGCAGGATCCAGACTGCACGTGTGTACAAAAGAGCGCGAATGCCGTGGGACGCTCCACACATGTGCAATTCGGCTGACTACCACTGGAAAAATCTCCAATCTGCGGCACCGGGGCAAGCCCAGCACCTACAGTGGAGCACCCATGGGGACATCACTCAAAGAAAAACACCTTATTCCTTTCACTAAGAGCTTCAACTACCAAAAAGTTAGGGATGGTACGGGAGAAAAGATACTCTGAATCCATGCCCAATAGATAGTACTTCGAATCAAATCTGTATGTGGCTGGAATGGTCCCCAGTGTTACTCATGTCAAACAAGCTGGTGGCAGTAAAGCACCACTAACAACCAAGGCAATCTTGCTCAGAGGGGAGATGTGCAAAATATCCATCGGAGGTGCTATTATTTCCTACTGGGGATCCACATGGCTTCTGTGATTCTTCTCCTTAATTTTTGTAAGGCCTTGAGCCATCCACAGAGGACGGAGGAGTAGACATAATCCTCTTGCTGGAGGGGAAGATGACGTGTTATATGAAGGTGTTTTAACTCCTGCTTCCCTAGAGAAATTTCACATGGGAAGAGAATCCTGAGGTGCCAATGACTATGGATCTTGGTAAGTTCTCTTGCATGAGGGCACCTTATGGCCACCATAAGGAGTACATGGGGTGAAAAAAGACTAATGCTGTAAGGCATAAGGGAAAGGAGTAGTGCACTAATGACATTCCTGTCAAGATTCACTGGTTTCCTGGAACCTTTCATTGAGAAATTCCTCAGAAGAGGAAGGTTGAATGGGAAGATGGTGTAACCTGGATGGAATATCTGAGGCAATATCTCTTATGTCCAGTGAAAGAGCCATAGATGTCAAGGATCAAGTCAGGACAAAGGTAGATCTACCAATGGCAGATCTACCACCCTGTATATTCTTGTACCAAAGAAAGAGAATGTGTAGGGCACAGACAGATATATACTGTTGACAAGAACCTCTCATTGAAAGAAAAAGGACATGCATACACCTAAAGTGGAGCACATATAGGGACAGCTTAATCTATTAGTAAACCTGCAAGTTTGTCAGAGAGGGCACAGATTCCTTGACTTTCCTCTGGGCCAGTTACATTGGCTGCTGCTGTGGCAGTCTTAGGCTACCATGCACCTCTCTCCAAGTAGTAGCAGGAATTTGGGTATGAAAGGGGCCAGGAAGTTGGGGTGGGATAGGGTGAGATGGGTCTGAGCAGTGCTTACTTCAGGGGGCTCCCCAGAAGCAGTGACACACTTCAGTTCCCACTGGCCATAGTTCTAGCCAATGGGAGCTGCAGACCTGGTGCTCGGGGTGGAGGAAGAGTGCAGCGCACCTGACCACACCTCTACCTAGGAGCTGAGCAAGGGGAATGTTGTAGCTTCCAGAGAGACTTGGTGCCAAGTAAGGAGCCTGCCAGTCCTGCCAACCTACATCACCAGCATCCAAGTGGGTCCTTGAGCACACACACCTGCCTGCCACCACCCCATCACCCATCACCCTCTTGGGCCATGCCCCCACATAATATTTAATCAATGGAATATAGAAGAAGTCATGTATAGGTCACGGGGTGTGAATTTTTGTTTATTGTCCATGACTCATGCATGACTTTTACTAAAAATACTTATGACTAAAATGTAGTTGTACCTATTAGGTCATTCAGTTTAATCTTTCCAAACTACAAGATTCCAGTATTTGTGCTACAGGAAACCTTTCAAGCTAATGGAGAACAACCCAGGTTTCCCCACAAGTTCAGCACTATGGAAATAGACTCATCAATTATTGAAGTGTTCTTTTTCTTATAGGGTTTAGCCAAACATGGACAGATATCTAACTGAACACACGGCAATGGGCTCCCCTCTTTATTTCCAGCAGTAAGTCACACTAAAAGGCTACTAAAAATATATTCAGTGAGATTTTTTTAAAATGCTCAGTGTTTGCTTAATTCTGCTTCCACCGAAATCAATGGGAGCTTTATCACACACTTCAAGGGGAGCAGATACAGGCAAATGCTGATCAATTTTGAAAAATTCATCCTAAACACTGCCTCAATACTACTTTTTCATGTAAGTGTAATGTGAAGCCCTTCAATGGGTTGACACAACAGCATGGACCAAACCCCAGAACACTATCTAAAAGCAGAAGTCTCTTCTGCCTGAGAAAAATGACCCAGCTCTGTTAACTTGCAGCCAATAGCAAATTCATCAATCTCTATGAGTGGCCAAGTCATTGGAGACTTCCTAGTGCCACAAAGTGTGATTTACATACACAAATACTGTAATTGCCAATAGGATGTTGTCAGATCAAAAATGGGAGGCAAAGTGGACACATGCTACAGAAAAGTTTGAGAAATCCAGAGTTACAAATACTGCTATGAATGTAAATTCTGAAATTATTATATAGGTACCTTGGACACAAATGAAGCAGTAACAGTCCAATATTCTTTATTATGTCTAGCCGTATTTGCAGAGACAACTTGAAGATCATACGGATTATAGGGAGCCTTAGGGTTGTTCCTGTTTCTCCGGAGACAATATACATATTCTCCACTATCTTTCAGTATTAAAGGTCTCTGTTAGCAAAGGACACATACAATTACTGCACCATTTATTTTTCATAATTACAAACTGATTATGTAGCTTACCATACCTAGAGAAATTCAAACAGACTGACTAAAAATAGAATGGTAAATAACGGCATCAGAATTAGCTGGAAAATAACATATTATTGCATCACATCCAATTATTCTTCTATTCCATCACAAGAGAATTTTAAATGTTCACAGATTCCAAAGCCAGGGACCATTTTGAAAGTCTAACTTATGTTCCTGTATAACACAGGCCATAGAAGTTCCTCAAAATATTTTTTAGAGGACAGCTTTCAGAAAAACATCCAATCTTGATTTTAAAATTGTCAATGATGGAGAATCCAATACAGTTCTCAGAAAATTGTACCAATGGGTAATTACTAACACTGTTAAAAATTTACACTTTATTTCCTCGTCACATATGTCAAGATTCAACTTCCAACCACTGGATCATGTTTTATCTTTTTCTGCAAGATTGAACAGCCTATTTTCAAATATTTGTTCCCCATGTAGATACTGATATATTGTATTAAAGTCACCTCTTACTCTTCTCTTTGCAAAGCTAAGTAGATTAAGCTCCTTGAGTCTAGCACCATAAGAAAGTTTACTAAGCCTATAATAATTTTCATGGCTCCTCTCTGAAACCTCTCCAATTTACCAACAACCTTCTTGAATAGTAAGAACCTCAACCAGACATAGTATGTTTAACAACTATTAACAACTAGATAAGAACAATTAACTGTGAAACTTTAACTAACTGAATGAAAAGAGAAAACTGCTAAAAGGTGCTTGCAGAGCAAGAGCAAAAACATGTTTCAATAACTGTCACAAGCACTAAGAAGGAACTGAGGTGGTGGAGGGCCAGCAGGGGAATATATTAGCCAATATACCGTATATACTCGAGTATAAGTCGACCCGAATATAAGCCGAGGCACCTAATTTTACCCCAAAAAACTGGGAAAAAGTATTGACCCGAGTATAAGCCTAGGGTAGGAAATAAGGCAGCCTAGGGTAGGAAATGAGTCGGGGCGAAAGCTGCTCCGGTGCCCCCGGTCTGCTGGAGACCGTCTCCAGCAGACCAGGGGCACCGGGCGGGTTCCCGCGCTTCTGAGGCTTTGCCAGAGCAAAGCCTCAGAGGCGCGGGGAACC